TTCTTTCTTTCTTTCTTTCTTTCTTTCTTTCAGATTTTATTTTTGTGTAATCTCCATACCCAATGTGGGGCTCATACTTACAATCCTGAGATTCAAGAGTTGCATGCTCTACCAACTGAGCCAGCCAAGGCACCCTGGTCAGTGAGATTTTCTTCAAATAAGCAAAATCATTTGGATAACAAACAGATAAAAAAAAAAAAAGTCATGGATTTTTCAAAGTGATTCACATGTTGTGGAATTTCAAATATGCATTTAAAAAATGGATCTGCATGCATATCTGTTCATGGAAAGAGTGTAGAATTATCTGACACAAGCCAACTGGGAGAAAAGATTTTTGGAGTGCAATAGGCAAGTGTATACAGGGATCTGAGATTATAAACTAATAGTGAGAGAGACTTCAATGTCAAGGGACACAAAGCAGTAAGATCAATGAAACAAATTATGTATTTTACATCAACAGGTCATTAGGAAGAGTGTCAGACATGGATACAGAATCTATGATCTGTTATTAGAATATCTATGATTTGTGAAAATCTACAAAAGCATTACCAATTAAGACACATTTGAAAATGTTAAAATAATAAAAAGTGTGTTTCTTAGTGAGGTCATAGCAATGCTATTAATTGTGTCTCTGGGCTGTAACAAATAAAGCAGTTTGTTTCCTTAAAGATACTCATTTGTCAACACATATGATATTATTTTTCTCATTAGCCCTACTTAAAATTTTCAATTGATTTTTTTTATGTCTTTGTAACTGAGGCCCAACTCTTCCCTCTTTAGGGATTATCTCATTCCCAATCAATAAAGTTCTGCAGATTTAACCTTTTAAATATTTATTTAATCACTTTTCCCATCCATCCCTACTATCATTACCTTAATTCAGGCTTCCATTAATGCAGCAACCTATCGATTGATCTACCTGTATTTCATTCCCCTTAGCTCTATCTTCTACAAAACCAGAGGGAGGTTGTAAAAACAAACTCTGCCATGTAATTTCCCTGTTTAACATCTTTTCTTGAATCCCTATTACATGTATATATCAGACATATTGTGGTTTTGGTTCCAGACCACTACAATAAAGCAAAATATCACAATAAAGTAAGTTAAATGAATTTTTGGTTTCCCAGTGCATATAAAAGTTATGTTTACATTGTAGTCTGTTAAGTGTGCAATAGCGTTATGCCTAAGAAACAATGTATATACCTTAATTTAAAAAGTATTGTTTGTGGGTCACCTGGGTGGCTCAGCCAGTTTAGCATCTGACTTCGACTCTGGTCATGATCTCATGGTTTGTGGGATCAAGCCCCGCGTTGGGCTCTGCACTGACAGCTTGGAGCCTGCTGGGGATTCTCTCTCTCTCTCTCTCTCTCTCTCTCTCTCTCTCTCCTTCTCTCTCTGCCCCTCCCCTTCTCTCTGTCTCTATTAAAAATAAACATTAAAAAAAGAATAAAAGCAAGAATTGCTTGTATAGAACTGTTGAATCACTATATTGTACACCTGAAACTAACACAGTGTGTTAACTACACTGGAATTAAAATTTAAAATGTTATAAAAATTAAACAAAAAGAAAAAGAAAAAATACGTTATTGCTAAAAATGTGCTACCCATCATCTCAATTTTCAGTGAGTTGTAATCTTTTTGCTGGAGGGTCTTACCTCAATATCGATGGCTGCTGACTGATCAGGGTGGTGGTTGCTGAAGGCTGGGGTGGCTGTGGGAATTTCTTACAAGAAGACAGCAATGACGTTTGACATATCAATTGACTCTTCCTTTCACAAATGATTACCCTGTAGCATGGGATGCTGTTTGATAGCATTTTATACACAGTAGAACTTCTTTCCAAATTGGAGTCAGTCTTCTCAAACTCTGCCTCTGCTTTATCAACTAAGTTGATGTGATATTCTAAATCCTCTATTGTCATTTCAACAATCTTCACAGCATCTTCACCAGGAGTAGATTCCATCTCAAGAAACCACTGTCTATACTCATCCATAAGAAGAAATTTCTCATCCATGAAAGTTTTATCATGAGATTTCAGCCATTCAGTCACATGTTCAGGCTCCACTTCCCATTCTAGTTCTCTTGCTGTTTCCACCACACCTGTTACTTCCTCCATTGAAGTCCTGAGCCCCTCCAAGTCATCCATGAGGGTGGGAATCAATTTCTTCCACTCCTGCTCATGTTGACATTTTGACCTCTTCCCATGAATCATGAATGTTTTTAATGGCATCTAGAATGGGACTATTCCAGAAGGTTTTCAATGGACTTTGCCCAGACCCATCAGAGGAATCACTATCTATGGCAACTATAGCCATATGAAATGTATTTCTTAAATAATAAGACTTCAAAGTCTAAGTAACTTCCTGATCCATGGGAAGCACAATGGATTAGCAGACATACAAACAACATTAATCTGGTTGTACATCTCCATCAGAACTCCTGGGTGACTCCTGGTGCATTGTCAATGAGTAGTAATATTTTGAAAGAAATCCTTTTTTTCTGAGCAATAGGTCTCAACAGTGGGTTTAAAATATTCAGTAAAGTGTGTTGTAAACAGATGTGCTGTTATCCAGACTTAGTTGTTCCATTTATAGAAAACAGAGTGGATTTACAATTCTTAAGGGTCTTAGGATTTTCAGAATCATCAATGGGCATTGGTTTAAACTTCTTAAGTCACCAGCTATATTAGAAACAAGAGAGTCAGCCTATCCTTTGAAGCTTTGAAGCCAGGCATTGACTTTTCTCTCTAGCTAAGAAAGTCCTAGATGGCATCTTCTACCAATAGAAGGCTACCTGCTGCATAGAAAATCTATTGTTTATTGTAGCCACATTCATGAATTATCTGAGCTGAATCT